CTGACAGATGTTATAGTATAGTTTGACAAAGCCCGTAATGTGCTGAATTTTGCAGTATGTGGCAGGATTATAGACCGTTGGGTTTTTTTTAATAACAAAATTATGTGTTCTGCCTCCACGGTCGGAAGCAGTACCATTAATTGGCAGTGGAACATGCTCCTTCAGAGTATATTAACCCTTAAGAAGTGCTAAAGTAGTTTCAGAAAGGGAGAGTGAACAATAGTGCCTCTTCACTAATTCTTGGAATTTCATGGACATTTTGCAAGTTTTTAGTTTGAAATCTTATCAGGTTAAAAATCTTTCCTGGCTGCTTTTGTTTGAAGGTATTGAAGGCTCTTGATAGTACCTGGTCAACTATGCAATTTGAACACGAGCCCCACCATAGAACTGGGACCATGATGCTCAAGTCTGATGAGGCACTGGTAGAGACCCTTGAAGAAAATCAAGTGCAACTCCAGACCCTGATGACTTCAAAGTATTTAGCACATTTCCTTCAGGAGGTCTCCAGCTGGCAGCAGAAATTATCTACAGCTGACTCTGTGATAAGCATCTGGTTTGAAGTCCAGAGAACCTGGAGCCACCTAGAAAGCATTTTCATTGGCTCAGAGGACATTCGCAATCAGCTCCCAGAGGACTCCAGGCGCTTTGATACCATTGACAAGGATTTTAAGGTGGGCATGGCCCTTTACCTGCCCTAATTTTCACATGCAAAAACGACAAAAACTGGAGCAGCTGACAAGTCCATCCTCTTTTCTTGCAGGAATTAATGGCTGATGCAGTAAAAACCCCGAATGTGGTTGAAGCAACAAATAAACCAGGTCTCTATGACAAACTAGAGTCCTTGCAAAAAAGGTAAGGAAGGCGTTATTTTCCTGCTTGATTTTGTCAAGTGTAAGCAGCTGGCTGGATTTACTTACTGAGAGAAGAAGCAAATCACAGGCTGCATAAGTTCAGTTATTTAGGACAGGGTTCTGGTTGCAGTTTCTTGAATTAAGAGGTCTTTTAATTTTAGGCCCAGAAAGACAGTTGCAGATGCCTGTTTATCAGTGGTTTGTTTTAAATGGCAGCAGGACTGGCCCTAACATTGGACAGAGTGCGGCAGTTGCCTCAGGCAGCCAAGTAATGTGTTACTTAATTTGCATTTTGATTTTTACTTCCAGAGATGAAACTTGTGTGCTATGCACCATGAAGTGCTGGGGAATAGCATTTGTTGCTGTGCTTTAGACAGTATCTCTCAGGCTTGCACTGAATGGCAGCCCGGTCATGGTGCAACCATTATTCGGAACTGAAGAGAAACAGAACAGGCCCCATGACTACCATTTTCAAAGGAGGTGAAATCTGCATGTAGCAAACACCTAAGCTGGGATCTGGAATCCAATAGCAGCTCACCCTTCATACCCTGACACCTTTTCTGCCTGGGTCTCGACTGCTTTCCATGGTATCTCCTGGCATCTATAATGACCCAGGTGTAATTAATGTAAACATCCGTGTGAATAAGCTGCTTTAACACTTGGGCTGAGCATGTATTCCTTTCAATTAGAAGTGTTCAGATGTCAGTCAAATGATGAGGATTAAAGAGGCTTTGAAAATGGCCTGTGGTAGCGAACATAGAAAGCATAATGTGAATGCCAGGTTTTATAACTTCCCTTGATATGACATCTGAAGCATCTCAGTGGAGCAGTGCAAAGCACCATTTGCTCCCAGTTTAGAGTGCTTTCGTTGTTTGTTTGTATAGACATAGAACTGTCTAGTTACCGTATTTTTCGCACCATAGGGCGCACCGGACCATAGGGCGCACCCAGTTTTTTGGGGGGGAAATAAAGGGGAAAAAATTATTTCCCCCCCAGGCCCGAGCTTCCCCCGACCCCAGCCCCCAAACAGGCAGCTCTCTGCAAGCCGTGGGAGCGCTCCCGCTGCTTGCGGAGAGGTCCGCGAAGCCTGGGCGCGCTGAGCTCAGCGCGCGCAGGCTTCGGCATGCTGGCAACTCTCCGCAAGCAGCGGGAGCCCAGCGCTGGGCTCCCGCTGCTTGCGGAGAGGTGTGCGAAGCCTGGAGAGCGTGAGGGGTCGGTGCGCCTCTCACTCTCCAGGCTTGAGCAAAAGCCTGCATTCGCACCATAGGACGCACACACATTTCCCCTTCATTTTTGGAGGGGGAAAAGTGCGTCCTATGGTGCGAAAAATACGGTAGTTAGTTAGTTAGTTAGTTACATTACTGAGCATCCTGTACAGCAGTGGCACTGTGCAGCTAATGATGATAAACACAACGCTTCTCCCACACTCTCTTGTCCACCTTGCCTTTTATTAGCTTGGCACTCTGTGAAAAGGCTTTGGCTGAATACCTGGAAACAAAGAGACTGGCTTTCCCCAGATTTTACTTCGTATCCTCTGCCGACCTGCTGGATATTTTGTCCAATGGCAACGACCCCGTTGAGGTAGGATATACATTCATGGAATGCTTGGACTTTCTTAAGAATTGTTATATTAAAAAAAAAATGGGGCCTTGAATCCCAGAGCTTTTACTAGAAATCCAACTTCATCCGAGGCTAAATCACAGATAACTTGGACCTGTACTCAGTGGGACCTGATCGGCAACTGGGGAGAGGGGCTGCAAACCCAGTGAGATTTGCACGTCTTTGGCATGCAGCAGATCCCAGGTTCAGCCACAATGTCTCCAGTTTAAAAAGGTTTTCGGGTAGTGGGCTGGGAAAGACCTTGGGGAGCTATTGGCAGTCACAATAGTGGCCTGGTTGGAGTATAGGAGATCCTATGTAGCACAGATATTTTAGATTGTTCAGTGCCCATTTCCTTTAGGCTTTCTAAAACTCTTTCTTTTTAGAAACATTGCTCATACATCTTCATTAGTCCTCTTCTCCCACCGCTTCTATTTCTATATTTCTAAACTTTGTATCCTAACAATACCGCAATCATCTTCTTGAAGGTATCCCGTCACTTGTCCAAGCTATTTGATAGTATGGCCAAGCTGAAATTCAAATTGGATGCAAAAGAGCAGCCTCTGAAGGTTGGCTTGGGAATGTACAGCAAAGAAGACGAGTATGTTGATTTTGACAAGGAGTGTGACTGTTCTGGACAGGTTGGTGGATATTATTTTAAATTCACTATTGGTCATGTAAACGGAGAGCCAGTGTGGTCTGGTGGTTAGAGTTTTTTACTGGGACCTGGGAGACACGGGTTCAAATCCCAACTCAGCCGTGAAGCTCTCTGGGTGACTTTGGGCCAGTCACTGCCTCTCAGCCTAAACCTAACCTCACAAGGTTGTCGTGAGGGGGAGAACCATGTTGGAGAGGAAAAAAGGTGGGATATAAATGAAATAAGTAAAGGAAAATAAATAACCATGAGAGTTTTGCTCCCTAGGTGGAGGTTTGGCTAAACCGAGTGCTGGAGAGAATGCAGAGCACATTGCGCAAAGAGATTTCTGAAGCTGTGGTGACTTATGAGGAAAAGCCAAGAGAGCAATGGCTATTTGATTACCCGGCACAAGTGAGCAAAAAGGCTAGAGTCAAAATGCAGTGTTTATATGTTTAACCTGTGAAGTGCAAAGAAAAGAGGAACAGAAACAGATGTTCATTCTAATAAGGAGTAAATATAACCAGAGGAACAAAGTGGAGCCATTCAGCATGCTTGTAGGATTAGGCCTTTATAAAGTCTAGTAGACAGTGTAGTACCCCCCAGATGTTGTGGACTACAATTCCTATCAGGCTTCTGCCAGCATGACCAGTGGTCACGGATGCCCAGGGGTCAGCTGGAAGGCACCGTATGACCAGTTCTTTTCTAGTCACTCATCCCACCAGAGCTGCACATTTGGGGGTCAAGGGGCAGAGCCTGAATTAAGGACAGTTCTGGCATTTCACTTGGCTTCACCGTCTCATAGGACTCTTTGGCTGTTGTTGCAGATTGCTTTAACGTGTACCCAGATCTGGTGGACAACGGAGGTTGGCATTGCCTTTTCACGACTGGAGGAAGGCTATGAAAACGCTATTAAAGATTACAACAAGAAGCAGGTACATAGCAGCAGCCCCCTCTGATTTTGTCAGACTGTGTTCAGATTTGCAGTGGCAAATTCTTCAGCGGAATAGTAGGCAGTTTTTTGTGTCTACAACATATCACACAGATGTCATCTCAAGCTCTGTCGCTGAATGCAACCGCTGGAGGAGGAAGGGGGTGCGGTGGGTGTGGCCTGCCTTGCCCCGGGTGTCATCCCTGAGGGGGGATGACATCACCGCCCCGCCCCCAGGTGCCAGAGCAGCTAGCTCCGTCTCTGAATGCAACTTCCAGTTTTGTGTGGGGTTTTTTTTAGACGAGTAGGTGCAGCAAGCCTCTAGGTCTCATGGTTGTTAAAGGTTGAAAACCGCTTAAATATGTTTATTTTTCTTTCCCCAGATTAACCAGCTAAACACATTAATTACACTACTCATTGGGAACTTAAGCCCAGGAGAGAGAATGAAGATTATGACAATCTGTACCATTGATGTCCATGCCAGAGATGTCATTGCCAAAATGATTTTAGCAAAGGTATATGCAGTGAAATCATACTTTGCTTTTTGGAAGCACACATTTTCTTAGAACCTTCTCAAGCCACTTTCACATAGCAACGTGGTTCTCTTCACTCATTCTTCAACCATCCTTCACTTAGTGAAAGCTAAGGACTAGCCCTGTATCATTTCCAGTGAATAAGATTTTCAAAAATGCAAACTTAAGTCCTATCAAGACTCCCCCCAAAAGGATTAAATAGTCAATCCACTATGCCTGCTTTGGGGGAGTTACTACATTTGAGTTATTAAAGAATATATTGCCCATATATCGAAGACCCTGAAGAAGTACTTTTGCATTGGGCTTCTGATAAATATTTATCAGCATGTAGAGGGTGTGGTCTCTCTTTCTGGTGGTTTGTTGGGGGGTAAATAATCTTTATAGGCTCTGAAGTAGAAGGCTATTCAATCTGCGCTTATGTCTAGAAAGTTGCCAAAGGAACTAAGTATGAGGTCTCTGTGGCGCAACGGGTCAGTGCGTCTGGCTGCTAAGCAGAAGGTTGGTGGTTCAAGCCCACCCAGGGACGGCTGTGGGTAGGATTCCTACATTGCAAGGGGTTGGACTTGATAATCCTTGGGGTCCTTTCCAACTCTACAGTTCTGTGGTTCTATAAAACTTTAAACCATTAGGAGCCTCCTACACATAAAAGCTTATGTGGATAGCAAAGGAGATAAGCAGGAACCACCGGAAATTTATTTATTATGGTTTCGCATTTGGGTTGCAGGTGGAAAGCTCCCAGGCCTTTACCTGGCAGTCTCAACTTAGGCATCGTTGGGATGATGAAAAGGGACACTGCTATGCCAATATATGTGACGCTCAGCTCCAATATTCCTATGAGTACCTTGGCAACACTCCACGGCTGGTGATCACGCCACTCACAGACCGGTATGAGCTGCTTAGCTTGCAATAGCCTTCAGCCTGGCCCAACGCATGTTCTTAGGGCATGCGCTGACTAGGATGATGCCAAATGTCTATCTTTTTGCAGGTGTTACATCACCCTGACACAGTCCCTCCACTTGATCATGGGAGGAGCTCCTGCAGGCCCTGCTGGCACAGGGAAGACAGAGACCACCAAAGACTTGGGAAGGGCAGTGGGGATCATGGTGTACGTCTTCAACTGCTCTGAGCAAATGGACTATAAGGTAAAGATCTAGCCAGTAAAAGTAACAGTGGGTCATATCTGAGTCCCTAATTCAGACAAAAAGCACCCAAAGTCATCCCCGAAGTCAGGAGTGTGAGGTAAACAGCAATCCATTCAGAGGTATAATTACAGAACGCTCTACTTTCCTAGAATTTTGTGTACCTGCAGGGACATCTGTTATTTTTTAAAAACATTGTACCTTTTTCTAACACATTACAGCTTTGTAGAATAAAATGGGCACTGTAAAACACTGAGGTGCTCTTCTGCTGGTTCCCTCACTGTGAGAGGTGAAGTTACAGGAAACCAAGCAGAGGGCCTTCTCGGTAGTGGCACCCTCCCTGTGGAACGCCCTCCTATCAGGTGTCAAGGAGATAAAGAACTACACAACTTTTAAGACATCTGAAGGCAGGCCTGTTTTTGGAGGTTTTTAATGTGTGATGTTTGTATTATGTTTTAGATATGCAGTAGGGCAGGGTATAAATAATAACAAATTCATCATCATCATCATCATCATTATTATTATTATTATTATTATTATTTATTACAGACACAGATCTACATTTTGTTTCAAGTACAATCATACCTTGGAAGTCAAACAGAATCTGTTCTGGAAGTCCATTTGACTTCTAAAGCTTCAAAAACCAAAGTGCGGCTTCTGATTGGCTGCAGGAAGCTCCTGCAGCCAATTGGAAGCCACGGAAGCCCCGTCAGACGTTCGGCTTCCAAAAGAACATTCAAAAACCGGAACAGTTGCCTCCAGGCTTGGATTGTTTGAGAGCCAAAACTTTCAAGAACTAAGCTGTTCGAAAACTAAGATACAACTGTATACCATATTATATCGCTAAAAGCTTCCTAGAAAACAACAGGCTGCTTGTTCCTTCCAGCACTTCCTCTCTTCCCACCCATCTGTTCTTGTGCTACAATGTGTTTTCCTGTGTTTTAAAATATAGCAAAACAATACATAAACAGGATATATTAACTAGTTACTTGATTGAATGTGATGGTCCACAAACAAATGCCTGTGCCTTTCCTTTCTAGTCCTGCGGAAATATTTACAAAGGATTGTCCCAGACAGGTGCATGGGGATGTTTTGATGAATTCAATCGGATTTCGGTGGAAGTCTTGTCTGTAATTGCTGTACAGGTAAAGATTCTCCTTAGGTTTCCTTTCATTGTGTGCAAATAGCCTGGATTTCATAGTCCTTCCAGCTTTAGCGCTGCAGTCAAATGCTGGCCATTCGTCTCCAGGATCAATACAAGTCCCTTGGGAATGATAGGCTGTAAGGAGGAGGTAGCTATTTCTATTCTGTCTTTGGTTTGCCACAATCAGCACTTTTCCATTCCTCTGCAGTTCAGTTTCCACTAAAACCTACGCCATTTGTCTCACTATCTGCTATGACTGAAACTTACATAATGCAATGTAATGGGATGTAATGAAATGTAATTAATTTAACTTATTAAATTCTGCTGCGGCCCAATGGATTGGCTGTTGTAGGTGACAGTTGAGGGAGAACCCTGATGCCATCAGTGTCACATCTGCAACCAGCCAGATTTAGCATTCTGGTAACATTATGAGGTCAGGACACAGGTGGCGCTGTGGTCTAAACCACAGAGCCTAGGGCTTGCCGATCAGAAGGTTGGCGGTTTGAATCCCCACGATGGGGTGAGCTCCTGTTGCTCGGTCCCTGCTCCTGCCCACCTAGCAGTTCAAAAGCATGTCAAAGTGCAAATAGAGAAATAGGTACCGCTCCAGCGGGAAGGTAAACGGCGTTTCGGTATGCTGCTCTGGTTCGCCAGAAGCGGCTTAGTCATGCTGGCCACATGACCCGGAAGCTGTCTGCAGACAAATGCCAGCTCCCTCAGCCTATAGAGCGAGATGAGCACGCAACCCCAGAGTCATCCGCGACTGGACCTAATAGTCGGGGGTACCTTTACCTTTACCTTTACCTTTAACATTATGAGGTCAGTTCAGAGTGAGGAAGTACTCTCCTCATTCCGTATGAGTAAATTTGCCAGTCAATGAAGCTGGGCCCCACAAAATTGCTTCAAGGAGGAGAGGAATCTGCAGCTTGCAGAAGCTTGTGCAGAAGGCCTCCCACTCCTCGCACGTCATTTTAAGTCAAGCCTAGTTTGTTGAGTATCCTGGATCTTGGTTAGCTCAAGTGTGCAATTATTTCCTAGTTCTTGATGCATCCTACATGCCTTTAGGTTTCATTGACTGCAGTTGGTTATGGAACAACTTGTTAATATGTCTGCATTCTTCAGCACCATATTTCATTACCTTACTGAAGACCTCATAGGAACAGCTCTTAAGACTTTGTTTTACTTGAAAGGTTAAATGTGTTCAAGATGCCATAAGAGCCAAAAAGAAGGTTTTCAACTTCCTTGGAGAGACCATTTCTCTTATTCCAACTGTTGGAATGTTTATTACTATGAATCCTGGATATGCTGGCCGTACTGAGCTGCCTGAAAATTTGAAAGCTTTGTTCAGGTACTAACATGCAGCCACTATTCTGGGGGAAATGAACTGGTAAGGGGTTATCACAATAATGTATGAGCTGGCCAGATTTTTTGGGCAGCAGAGTTGGGATGCCTCTAGCCAGACAGCCTCCCTCCTTCCCTCCCTGGGCTCCTAATACCTTTGCTGTCTCCTGTCTGAGAAAGGGGCAGGCACTTGCTTCATTCTTCCTGCACCCATCACTTCTGGCCAAGTTCCAGGCCCATGCTTCTTTCTTGCATGCCTCACTTCCCCCACCTCCATTGCCATTTTGCCACAGTCATGTAATGTGTCACTCTGCCCAGAGAAGTAATGTGGGAGTAGTAGCGCCAATGAGATTTATTGAGCTGTTGAGGATAGGGCCACGTGAAGGAAACCATGAATACATTTGGAAAGCGTGTTGAGGGAAGAGAGAGTTACTCTTCTGCACAGGCCTAGATCGCCAACATGGAAGCTCTCAGGAGTCAGGGCAGATTATACAGTGTGTAAAACAGTGGAAACAAAACGAGACCGAGTGTAAGTGGGAAATGAATGTGGGCGTTTGAAATTAATCATATCTGACATTTGCACTGAATATTCACTGCAGCCTAAAGGAAAGATTGACTGTTGTCTCTGCAGTGTAATCGCACCAGATGTTAATTGTCTCATTTCTCTCTTTTCAGGCCCTGTGCGATGGTTGTTCCTGATTTTGAGCTTATCTGTGAAATCATGCTTGTTGCTGAAGGTTTCATTGAAGCCAGGCTTCTAGCTAGGAAGTTTATTACTCTCTACACACTGTGTAAGGAGCTGCTTTCAAAGCAGGTAATTGAACATTGTTCACCAAGCCTGTTTGACACAGAGTTTTTTCTAGTTCAGTGAAGAGTTTGCAAGAGTACGCTGACAGGGCTTTAAAAAAAATAACCATATTTTTCGCTCTATAAGACGCACCAGACCACAAGACACACCTAGTTTTTGGAGGAGGAAAACAAGAAAAAAAAAATTCTGAATCTCAGAAGCCAGAACAGCAAGAGGGATCGCTGTGCAGTGAAAGCAGCAATCCCTCTTGCTGTTCTGGCTTCTGGGATAGCTGCACAGCCTGCATTCGCTCCATAAGACGCACACACATTTCCCCTTACTTTTTAGGAGGGAAAAAGTGAGTCTTATAGAGCAAAAAATACGGTACTTAAAGTGGTTGTATCCCACCCCAAACTTCATCCTGTCATAGAAAATTAGCAGGGATATACAGAGGTAGAATATTGGAATGTTTAAAAATGGCTGCCTCTCACCACTCACCTCCAGAAGTGAGCCTAAAGCCTTATGGCTATGATATCAAAGGGTGCCCGTGCTACTGTACCCACCTCAAAGGAACATAAACGACTTTCCTTGCCTTTTTTGAAAGTGGAGGGATGCCTTTCCTTACTTGTTTTAAGCGATGTCCTTCTGTTTACGTGCAATGCGAAGTTGTTGCCATATGTCTGACAGGATCACTATGACTGGGGTTTGAGAGCTATCAAGTCTGTGCTAGTGGTGGCTGGTTCACTCAAGAGAGGAGACCCAGGACGGGCAGAAGACCAGGTTCTCATGAGAGCTTTGCGAGACTTTAACATCCCCAAGATTGTGACGGATGACTTGCCTGTCTTCATGGGACTCATCGGAGACCTTTTCCCAGCGCTGGATGTGCCTAGGAAGCGTGATCTAAACTTTGAAAAGGTGAATCTGCTTTAGTTGGCTGTGAAGCAGTATAATTAAGAGATTTGAATGTCTGGCCTCTTTTTTGTGTGTGACTTCACTGGGGAAAACCCTGTTGCCATGGAGACCTCTGGAAAAGAGCCCTGCTCAGAAAGCTTTTGGTGATTTGTTCATTTTCCTGTTTGGACACCTGGGATTGTATCCGCGCAATAATCCCATCA